GTACTTATCAGCTTTACGAAGTTGTTTCACTTCCTCCCATAATTTCTTACGATGTTCAATCGTTTCTTTCGCGTAGCCTTCGTTTATGTAAATCCCAGTCTCTCGTAATTTTTTGGCGCTGTTCAAAACTTTAGTTTTATCTAAAAAATTCAGTAGTTTGAAGATTATTGTTCTCGGTAGTTTGTCTTCTCTTGCACTTCCAATACGATGGGCTCGTTATTCAGTTGCATCTAGTTCAATGTCATCAATTAGTGACCATAACATTATTTGACAATGCGCGCGCAGGCCATGGAACAAAGCAGCTTTATCAGTTGGGTAAGTTTCTCTAGCAATATCATACCCTTGCATGCTAAATCGATTTATTTATTATACCTAAAATGAATTAAGATAATTATTTTTATACAATTAGGATTTCTATGCTAGATAGAAAATAATTACCTCAAGTAATTATTTTACAAGTGTGCTTTCTTTTGTTCCTTCATATAAGAAAATAAAACCTTCAATCGAGGAGTTTCCAACTTCTTCTTGATTACTCCATGGGCTTGTCATTACTTCTGATATTTTTTGCCATTTTTCGTCCGAGATTTTTTCAACTAGTTTTGTTTTACTTTTTCCAAACACAGACGAAACTGTGTCACACCCCAACCATGCATGGACAAAGAGGAGGCGTTGTTTTATGGTTTTGTTTTTTAAACAAGCATCCTTGATACTCCAAGTTTTACCCCATTTATCTTGCAAAAAGTAAATGCCAGACATGTTGCTTTTCCAATGATGAATAAGCATCACTGCAATATCTGTGTCATCAGCGACAACAGTTACATGCTGCAAGTTTGTGTTTGCGATATCAAGAGCGGTTTTAACAACGGTGCTATCAACATCACCAGAGCAGTTTACAGTCAAATACCCTAATTGATTTAAATGATGTGAAAGAAAGTTTATTAAATTGGATTTGTTTTTAATATTACTTTGAAAACAAAGCCAATTTCATAAATTTTCTTTCACATTTCAAGGAAAACGATCCTGAGTAAACGGAACAAGTTTATCTTGGTTAATTACTACATTGCAGCTTTGTGGAATAGAATTTCTGCGTAGATGCTCGTGACTCTTTGTGCCTTCATCTTGATAGTCGTCAAAAATAACCGTGACGACTCCCTGGTAATTTTTTTTTATAAAACTCGAATCTGCTACAGCATTAAATTTCATTCCTTTAAACCATCTAACTCTATGTAGCAATGCACCGCCATCTAAAACATAGTGGTTTAGAGTCTTGATATCTTCATATTTAACAGCATCTTTGTCGCACATCATTATTTTGCGAAGGGATGTTTGATCTGGCTTTCTCATCATGCCTTGTTTAAAAAGTGACATAGGCTTATAAGTTAATTCATATTCAAATATAGATTCTAAATCATCTTTACGTGCGGTGACAGTTATTAGCCGGTTAAACATTATGCTTGGTTCTCCTATTGGTTTTTTACTACTTTTTACCTTTGCATGTATCAACGAGTCCAATGTTATGATTTGATTTTTTCTTTTAATTTCTGCGTCTTAAAGAAATACGTTATCCAACCCATTCTGAATACTTTTACCAACTTCTTCAGTAAGCTCACAGTTTACACCATCCTTATAAGTAAATGACACCATATCAGTCAACAGTAAGTGGAGATTTTTGTCAGGAATACAGAATGGGTTTCAATCAACTAACCATTCATAAAACTTTTTCCAATCTTCGTAATCTTGCTTTGTTCTTGACTTTCCGATTTCTTCATGTTTCTCACTAGATTTTGCCAATACACCTGTTAGTTGAATCATAGCATCATGTATTGAAATTATCTGTGAAAGGCTTAATGCCCATACGTGACGGACAGATTCTGACATTCCACGGCCACCAGTCAATCCACCCTTTGACTTTATAGATCGCATCATGGTTTGTTCGATTGCAATATCAGTCCAGATGCCAATCCAATTTCTCTTTGTTCGTTGCACAGTATGGTTACCACCTGTAAATTCTCTATACAGCCAAGGATGCGTTTTCGGAAGCTTTTTTATTTCTTGCAATTATAATCGGGCACTATTTGCATAATGAATGTGTCCTGTAACTGCAAACAATTTGAGCATTTTTGATAGAACACCCAAATGCAGCTCCCAATTTGATGTTTTTTCTGCAAAAATGAGTTCTTTCGCAATATCGATATAGTCAATGTACAGCAGACATATTTATACCGTCACATGTTGCCAATTTGTTAAGCATTTCTTCATCAAGTTTTCTACGGTAAGCGAGTTCATAAAATTGCTGCATGTTGTTGAATTCCACTTCACTTTCTTCTTTGATTTCTTTCATTAATAATGACGTTAATGCTGACTCAGCCACATTTTGTACCCTTGTTGCTCTTATAATGGGTTTTCCAGATACCATTTTAGTGATACAATTCTCAGCATATACATTGACAAAGAGATTCTCAAGACCTGTTCTTTTCATGAGCGCACCAATGCTTCCCAAAAAACTCATAAGCGTATGAAAGCCACCAAGCCTGCAAACTGTTGGGAGATTTTCAGCATGGATGATATTGAATGCCTTTAACCAAAGTGGCTGGTCAAAAGTTATATAAGGGATTTCGACTTTAAACTTCTTTGCTTGGGAGATAACAAAAACTGATTGAAATCCTTTTTGCGGGATTTGCTTTGTTGAGCATTGTAAAAACCCAGACCAGTTTGAACGAGGTTCTTCAGTTGATAACAAAAACCAAATCGCGTGCCACAAAAGATCATAAGTAGACATTATATTGTTCATATCAGAAATGAGCGGTCTTACTGTAACCTCGGAGATTGCTTTAAATTGAAACTATATACAAAGATTTATGATACGGAACAATCTCTATACCACAATTGTTAGCAAATGCTGCTGTTGGTAGAAGTTGTCTCAATTTCGGAACTTTACCAAACGATTCAGTGTGCTTTTTTTCTATGGCGGTTATTCCGATCCCATGAAATTTACCTTTTCCTGTTAATATTGCAATATTGTGATCAACATTATCAGCTACCCATTGCTTAAATCCATTACTTATTTCTTTGTGGTTATTGATTTCATTCCTGCTCATCTCTTTGATTGCTGATTGTTTAAGCGGTACCATTAATCTGGAATAATTGAAAACCCAAGTCGCGAGAAATGTTGAATAAGCTGTTTACATCCAGTAGATTTATCTATATTGACAGCAACTCCGAATGGAATTGGTGCAATAACACTTTTTGGTTGTGAAGTTTGTATGATACATTGACTCAGACTCAACCGCTTCCCAGCGGGCACAGACGTAAATCAAACGTTCTACGGACGTCTAAACTAGGTCGCAACGTCTCAGACCAAATTAGGACGTCCTAAAGACGTCTGATTAAGACGTCTTTTTTAGGACGTCCTTGTGACGTTAATATAAAGACGATATTAGGATTTTCAAATTTAGACGTCCTGTTGACGTTGCTGAGACCTACATTAGACGTCCTAATTACCATAAAAAAATTAATATTATCAACTTGGCGCATACAATTATATGCGCTAACTCAGTTAATTAAAAATGTCTACTTGTTTTGGTTGATTATTTTGAGATTATTAATTTTGTTTCGTTATTTATCGCTTAAAGATATTTTTTAATTTTCTATATTCTATACTCTATGATCTATAAACTATAATCTATACAATATTTAAATAAAAGAAAATTAAGTTTAGTTATTAAGTGTAACTAAGTTACAAGTATAATGAGGGAATTTTAACAAAAGACATCAAAATTGCACCAAGACATTTCACTTTGTGTTTTATAGAATAGTAATGATATTTTGTGTGTCTGTGTAATATATAATTTATATATATATATATATATATATATATATATATATATATATATATATTTATATATATATATATATATATATATATATATATATATATATATATATATATATATATATATATATATATATATATATATATATATATATATATATATATATGTATATATATATATATATATATATATATAAATATATACATATATCATATATGTATATATATATATATATATATATATATATATATATATATATATATATATATATATATATATATATATATATATATGTATATATATATGTATACATATATATATATATATATATATATATATATATATATATATATATATATATATATATATATATATATATATATATATATATATATATATATATATATATATATACATATATATATATATATATATATATATATATATATATATATATATATATATATATATATATATATATATATATATATATATATGTATGTATATATATATATATATATATATATATATATTATATATATATATATATATATATATATATATATATATATATATATATATATATATATATATATATATATATATATATATATATATATATATATATATATATATATATATATATATATACATATGAATTATGTTAGTGCATTCTGCAAACAGAGTGATGTCTGCAATTGTAATGCTTTTAAAGAACAGAGCAATTGAGGTTGCGTAGTCATAGAGTTGGAGTTGCGACATTGAAAGTGAGTCAAAGTTGCTAAACAAAATCGCGACTGTGACTCTAATAGTAAAACTTCTCTGTATTGCATGTGCATGTACAAATTATTTAACTTTTAAAGAACTTTTCATATATTTGGCAAATAAGATTTTTTTAATCATTGCATAATATTGTTTTAAAGAATTCAAAGAAATATTCAAAAATTTTGCTTTGGAGTTGGAATTGTATGTATAAGTATATATATATATATATATATATATATATATATATATATATATATATATATATATATATATATATATATATATATATATATATATATATATATATATATATATATATATATATATATATATATATATATATATATATATATATATATATACATATATATACATATATATATATATATATGTGTGTGTGCGTTTGTGTATAGGTAGCAATTCTTTACAGTTTTTGGCGTTAGACAAAAACCCTATAATTGTCTTGAACTTTACTTGTTTATACATTTTTTTAAGGTTAAGCATGAAACTTGAGATTTTTTGCATTATTTAGTTTAAATCTACTTCTTCTCAACCATATATAGGAAGTACTATTTACTACTTTATATACTATTTTTATGGCTTCACTTATATATTTTACTTTTCAGAGTTTCAGAAAAAAATTTATATTCAAACTTGCTAAAATGAAAAAAATTTTAATAGATAGAACTGCACTGTTCTCTAATTATCTAGAAGAAGGTTTAAACAACGTAAAAGTTCAGATAAGCTTAATGTTTTGAATAAAAAATTCGCAAATGGAGATATCCAATACATCACTTTTGTATACATGAGTTTCATCTTTATAGTTTATATGTTATATATTTTTACAATATTTATTTCAAATTGTCATAAACATTTTCAATGTTTCTTATACATTTTTTTTTTTAGGTAAAACAGTTGTATTAATTGGCGGTAAAAATCTAACTGATACAATTAAAAATATTTCGCTCTTGTAAGTAATTAGCAAAAGTTTATGTTGAATTTGAACATTTATGATTGACAGTACAGCATTTATCTTCTTTTTTATATATGTAGACTGTCAACAGACACTATTTTGTCAGAATACAGCATGAATTGTCTAAAGAAGAAAAAAAAGTTTAAAGAGTTGACATGTCTATGTTACGCTGTCACTGGTATTCTTATTAGCTTATTAATGTGTTTGATTAATTAAAAATTAAAAATGATGTTTTAATTAAAAAAAAAAAAAAAATTTAATTTTTTTGGCTATGGAACATGACATGTATTTAAGTGTATGTATACATGACATGTATATTTTATTTTATGATCTTGTTGAAACATGTTTTGTTGTTTTTATTAGAAGCTGCTTTAAAGTCAAATAAAAACTTAACCAAAATGGATGCCATCCAACTTATTGGGAGAGTAATTAGGCATTCTTCTGACCGAATAAAGAGAACATCGACTAATATGGATTTTGATCAATAATGGCTTAATTAACTGTTGTATTTTTTTTTTTTTTTTTTCCATTTTTAAGCAATTTTCTTCTATTAATAATGCACTATCGATTATATTCTACAGTACCTATTATTTTTTAATTTGAAAAATGTAACTTTGTTTGAAAAATTATTCTTATTTTTTGTAAAGTTATTAATTTATTTTAAATATATCAAATTAAACTTAATTTACATTGATTTCTTTTTATAACTTCCCTCGCCTAGATTAAGGCAAATCTAAGGTGTGTGTTGTAAATCATTGCATTTTTATATAACTTTTAAAAGAATGTCTTGGTAAAACTCAAACGTCTCTAGGACGTCTGAAAAAGACGTCCTTAAGTCTTTCATATGAGACAAACCAGAGACGTCTCTAAAACGTGTGCAAAAAACGTCTCTAGGATGTCTTAAAAAGACGTCTTAAGGACGTCTGGAATAGACGTCCTGAAGCCTTTCATTTGAGACTAACTCAGGATGTCTTCCCAGCGGGCATTTTGACGTCCTAAGGACGTCGTTAACACGTCCTAAGTCTCGTCTGTAAGACATCCTTAGTTGGTCTTAAATGAAAGGCTTGAGGACGTCTACTCCAGACGTCCTAAAGACGTTTTTTCAAGACGTCCTAGAGAAGTTTTTTGCAAACGTTCTAGAGACGTCTCCTGCTGGTCTCATATGAAAGACTTAAGGACGTCTTTTTCAGACGTCCTAGAGACGTGTGAATTTTACCAAGACATTCTTTTAAAAGTTATATAAAAATGCAATGATTAACAACACACACTTTAGATTTGCCTTAATCTAGGCAAGGGAAGTTATAAAAAGAGTTTTTTTTTTTTTTTTTTGTATGTATTTAGGTGCTCTCAGAAGTCCTTACGGTCTTATCATAGAGCATCGCGGGAGAGCATTTAACAGGAAGTTCACGCCTCCTTCCGTACCAATGTCGCTTGTTGGGCTAGAGCTGGCGTCGAACCTCGGACCTCTGGGTTCTGAGCCAGAACTCTAACCACTGCGCCACGGCTGCTTATCAATGTAATCAATCTAAATAAAGTGTAATTTGATATATTTAAAATAAATTAACAACTTTAGAAAAAATAAGAATAATTTTTCAAACAAAGTTCCATTTTTCAAATTAAAAACTAATAGGTACTCTAGAATATAATCGATAGTGCATTATAAATAGAAGAAAATTGCTTAAAAATGAAAAAAAAAAAAAATTCAACAGTTAATTAAGCCAACATGGATCGAAATCCATGTTAGTCGATGTTTTCTTTATTCGGTCAGAAAAATGCCTAGTTACTCTCCCAATAAGTTGGATAGCATCCATTTTGGTTAAGTTATTATTTGACTTTAAAGAAGCTTCTAATAAAAACAACAAAACATGTTTCAATAAGATTATAAAATAAAATATATATGTCATACATACACTTGAATACATGTCATGTTCCAGAGACAAAAAAATTATTATTGTTTTTTTTTTTTTATTAAAACATCATTTTTAATTTTTAATTAATTAAACACATTAATAAGCTAATAAGACTACCAGTGACAGAGTTACATAGACTTGTCAACTCTTTAAACTTTTTTTTCTTCTTTAGACAATTCATGCTGTATTCTGACAAAATAGTGTCTGTTGGCAGTCTACATATATAAAAAAGAAGATAAATGCTCTACTGTCAATCATAAATGTTAAAATTTAAACTTTTGCTAATTACTTACAAGAGCAAAATATTTTTAATTGTATCAGCTAGATTTTTATAGCCAATTAATGATAACTGTTTTATCTAAAAAGAAACAATGTATAAGAAACATTGAAAATGTTTATGACAATTTAAAATAAATTTTTGAGTAATATATAACATACAAACTTTAAAGATGAAACTCATGTATACAAAAGTGATATATTGGATATCTTCATTTGCGAATTTTTTTTTTCAAAACATTAAGTTTATCTGAACTTTTACGTTGTTTAAAACCTTCTTCTGGATTATTAGAGAACAGCGCAGTTCTATCTACTAAAATTTTTTTTTAATTCAGCAAGTTGAAATATAAATTTTTTCTGAAACATTGAAAAATAAAAAATATAAGTAAAGCCATATAAATAGTATATAAAGTAGTAAATAGTACTTCCTATATATGGTTGAGAAGAGTTAGATTTAAACTGAATAATGCAAAAAATCTCAAGTTTCATGCTTAACCTTAAAAGAATATATAAACAAGTAAAGTTTAAAAAATTTATAGGGTTTTTGTCTAACGCAAAAAACTGTAAAGAATCGCTACCTATACCCAAACGCGCGCTCACACACACACACACACTCACACACTCATATATATATATATATATATATATATATATATATATATATATATATATATATATATATATATATATATATATATATATATATATATACATTTTGTAATATCTTAGAAATAGGTAGAATTTAATAGATGTAATATCTGTAGAAATAGGTAAATGAATAAATAAATTGTATATATTTTGTTGTTCCTGTGTTGTTTCGTTAAATTTTATAAAACAGACACACAAATTTATAACACAGACATACAAAATATTATTACTATTCTATAAAACACAATGTGAAAAGTCTTGGTGCAATTTTGATGTCTTTTGTTAAAACTCCCTCATTATACTTGTAACTTAGTTACACTTAATAACTAAACTCAATTTTCTTTTCTTTAAATATTGTATCGATTATAGTTTTTAGATCATTGAGTATAGAATACAGAAAATTAAAAAAAATATCTTTAAACGATAAATAACTAAACAAAATTAATAATCTCAAAATAATCAACCAAAACAAGTAGACATATTTAATTAACCGAGTTAGCGCATAATATTGTATGCGCCAAGTTGATAATATTAATTTTTATACTTGTTTCTAAGGTTATTAGGACGTCTAATGTAGGTCTTAGCGACGTCAATAGGACGTCTAATGTAGGTCTTAGCGACGTCAATAGGACGTCTAAATATGGAAGTTCTAATATCGTCTTTATCTTAACGTCACAAGGTCGTCCTATCAAAGACGTCTTTACCGGACGTCTTTAGGACGTTCTAATTTGGTCTGAGACGTCGGGACCTAGTTAAGACGTCCGTAAGACGTTTGATTGACGTCTGTGCCCGCTGGGTTACCGACGAGACCTAAGACGTCTTACGGACGTCCTTAGGACGTCAAAATGCCAGCTGGGTTCTGACTGGAAAGAATCAGTAACATCAAAAAAGTTTTTAATGATTCAGGAACCCACTTTTCTCCATCTATGATATCATCAATATTAAGGTAAAAATCTTTACTGTATTCTATTGAACTTATCTCTTCCTTTACTATTTTTGCTGCTGCTTTCACCACACTACCTCTTATATCCCAGCGGGCACAGACGTAAATTAAACGTTCTACGGACGTCTAAACTAGGTCGCAACGTCTCAGACAAAATTAGGACGTCCTAAAGACGTCTGATAAAGACGTCTTTGTTAGGACGTCCTTGTGACGTTAATATAAAGACGATATTAGGATTTTCATATTTAGACCTCCTGTTGACGTTGGTAAGACCTACATTAGACGTCGTAATTACCATAGAAAAATTAATATTATCATCTTGGCGCATACAATATTATGCGCTAACTCGGGTAATTAAAAATGTTTGATTATTTTGAGATTATTAATTTTGTTTAGTTATTTATCGCTTAAAGATATTTTTTAATTTTCTATATTCTATACTCTATGATCTATAAACTATAATCTATACAATATTTAAATAAAAGAAAATTAATTTTAGTTATTAAGTGTAACAAAGTTACAAGTATAATGAGGGAATTTTAACAAAAGACATCAAAATTGCACCAAGACATTTCCCTTTTTGTTTTATAGAATAGTAATGATATTTTGTGTGTCTGTGTAATATATAGTTTATATATACATATATATATATATATATATATATATATATATATATATATATATATATTATATATATATATATATATATATATATATATATATATATATATATATATGTATATATATATGTATATATATATATATATATATATATACATATATATATATATATATATATATATATATATATATATATATATATATATATATATATATATATATATATATATATATATATATATATATATATATATATATATATATATATATATATATAATATATAATATATTTATACTTTATATACAAGCTTGGTCGGTAAGTAGGTGCGATCGCACTCGATAATTGACTACGGAAATATTATTTAGTTGCGAAAAGCAAGCCAGATTTTTTAGTCGTTTTGAGAACATTTCGAAAAAACGCAAAAAAGCACATTTAGATTAACTGGACCGATGAGAGACAGTTAAAAAAAGAAAAATAGCTTTAAACGCTAAAAAACTTAAAGCAAAACAAATTTAAGCAATTATTTTTGAAACGTCGCTCTTTTATAATTTTTTTTATAAAATTAAGCGACATTTTTTATCTAAAGTAACAACTATAAAGAAACAAATGTTCTTCGATTTATCAAAGAGTATATATAATTTTTATTTATATACTTATGTTTTATTTCCAGTGCTGGATTGAAGAGGTAAGGTGGGGGTAGTAGGGCTATAGCCTCGGGACT